CAGTAGCCGTGACCTGTAGACAGAGCACACGCCCCAAGTTTCTCCCCGCCGGGTCTATTTCACTGGGTCTCTGAGTTGGTGACCCGTGGTTGAAAAGGTCAAGCAGCTGCAGATTGCAAAGCCAACCAATCATTATCAGACTTTTCCCAAAAACATCCCCACTAAGAGACTCGTCTGTCAATATTAGGACAGCTGTGATCAAAGGTAAAGCATATGAGACCAAAATGATTTGAGAAATTAAAAAAAACAAAAAACAAAAAACAAAAAACCGTAGTTGGGTCCATTTGGATTTCTGCTCTAGGATACTCATTGTTTCAGAAAATACACTCACCTTTATTACTTCATTTATTCCTCCCAACAACCCTGCAAGGAAGGAATTATTCCCAGATAAACAAACTGAAACTGAGTGATGTCAAATCAGCCATCTCTCCAAAAATTATCCAACCAGTAGGTTGTAAAACCACATTTTGAACCCAGTTTTGTCCATCTACAAACGCTGTGCTTTGGGAATAATGAAAGAACACTGTATAAAGCCACAAGGCTTGATTCCACCTCAGGGCCTTTGCACCTGCTCTCCCCCGCCCCCATTGGAAACCTCTTTACCCAGATCTTTACGTGACAGGATCTTAACTCTTTCACTTCGTTTGCATCACCCTCACAGAGAAGTTTTCCCCAGCCATCTGATCTAACGTAACACAGGCGTGCATACACGCACACACACCAATTTCCCTCTAGACCTCTACTATTCAAAGTGAGGTCCAGAGATCAGAAGTTAGAAATGCAGGCTCTCAGGCCCCTCCTTAGACCCGCTGAATCAGAATCGCGTATGTTAACAGCATCCCAGGTGATCCATACCCACTTGAAGTTTAAAAGGCACTGCTCTACTAGGCGCCCTGCCCGGTGGAAATATAACCTGAGTCACGAGTGTCGTTTTGAATTTTCTAGTAGCCGCATTAAAAATGTGAAAAGGAAGACTGTTTGCTGTCTCCCCTCCCCACCACCAAAATGTCAGTTTCAGGAGCACCGAGTGCTTACTCGCCGCTTTACCCCCTGTCCTTAAAACAGTACCAGGTACGTGCTAAATATCATCACGTTTGTTAAATGTAAGAAGGTAGTATTATACATGGGGCGGGAAGAAAGTAGCACCGTGAGATTGGACAGATGTGGGCAGCTCAACCACGGACCAGCTGAGCAATCCTGGGCAAGGGATTGGTCCAGGAGCCACCTGTAAGTTCACAGCCCTCACCGTTACGCTCAGATGTGATAGGACATGTACAAAGCGCCAGCCGCTGTAAGTCACAGGTATTCCATAAATGCCAGAGCCTTTCTGGCGTCCTCCCTCGTTCTCTCTCCAGATTCCACGTGCACCCAGTGCTGCTGTGACCACCTTCCTCTGGGAAGCAGGAGCCAGGCCATGGGAACCGTTTTCCTGAGTGATCTTCCCCAGCCAGGGGGCTGAGCGTATTAACTGCTGGCAGCGAAGACAGCTTGAAACCAGGGAGGGTCGCTTCCCATCGCCCTGGAGCTGAGTGGTTTCCAAAGCAAAGTAGTCACACGGTCCCTGTACAGCCTGTAAACCACAAGGGAGGCAGCACCTCAAGGCAGCCCTGTCACCGTGATGAGTTCTGCTGGGTCGGCCCGCCACCAGGTCCCGCCCCTTAGAGGAGTATGAGGTCTGTGCCCAGACACAGCTTGGATCAGCCCATTCTGAAAGGTGCATTGTGGCTCTGCCTGTTTCCGTTATTGGTTTGGGGGGGTGGGGAGCGGAGGGTTGAGTCTCCCCCCCCACCCGTTAATCACTGGCCCGTGTCAATCCACCAAGGGAGGCTTGCTTCTCCCCAGCTTTTAACACCCCCCATCCTAATCCATTAGTCTATCTTGCCCGGAAATCGGATGCACATGTCCTAATCTCAAAAGTGTTTTTAAATCACATTAGATCAACAGCAACGGGAGAAAGCAAAACCCGGATTTAGACATGACTGGTGCGACACCGAGAAAATAAAACCCCCAGGGCTGCTTAGCCGGGATGGGGGGAAAGCCCGAACCAGTGTCACCCAAGCACCTGCCCCAAGGTCTTCTCCCTCTGGCTAAAAAAACAAACACCAGAAACACTCGCAGAATTAGCAGCCTATGGGGAAGCGCACGGCGAGGAAAGAGAACAAGTCGGGGAGAATCAAAACCTCCCATCAGTCTGTGGCCCTCTCATCTGGCAAGCAGAGGAAGATGCTGCACAGACCACACCTCGGGTGGGGAGCAAGCGTGACCGGTCAAGTACACCCGCGACCGCGTAGAGATGCAGCTGTCCGACACTTGGTTTCCGCTCGGGTCATGATCTCAAAGCTCCGTGCATTCCAGCCCCCTATCGGGCTCTGCACTGACAGGTGCAGAGCCTGCTTGGGATCCTCCCTCTCCCTCTCTCCGTCCCTCCCCCACTCACGCTGCCTCGGTCTTTCTCAAAATAAATAAATAAACGTTAAAAAAAAAAAAGGTGCGGTTGGACCAGAGACACAAGAGGAAGGGTTTCTCTTACTGGTCTGACCTGATGCCACTGTTTCCTCTTCTGCATTATAATGAGGACGTCATCCCTCTTCCTCCAAGGGAGAGAGAGAGAGAAGAGCCTGAAGACAGAGAGCCTCTGAAAATCCCACTTAAACAAGCCTCCAAGCACTGCTGTCCCTGGTAAGGCTGGAGAGGTACCCAAGCAGCCCCGGCACACTCCCAGGGGCCCGAAGGGGTTTCTAGAAGACTTAGCAGCCAGGTCGGGGTGGCTAACGATACCCTCTGCCTTACAGAGATGCTTCTCGGGCATTTGCAGTCAGCACCACTAAGCACTGTAAGGATCTGCCACGGGGGAGACACTGGGGTAGAGGATGGGGCACCCAGAGAAATCGCATGGTCCTCCCAAGTGAGGATCAAGGGAATCTGCCCGTGTCTTCAGTAGAACAGTTCTGCAGATGGGTACCAAACATTCACACTCAGCCCCGAACACCACACCAGGGATGGCTGGGAGGACCACAGTGCTGGGATAGTACCTTCCACAGCCGTATCACAGCAGTCTCCACGCCTTCTCCTCTCAGCCGCGGTCTGCAAGAACATTAAGAAAACCTGGCATCTCCTAGCTCCTCGTTCAGAAAATCCCCCAGCCCCGTGGACGGGACCTCCTGACCCACATTCCACCCTGCAATCCTTCATCCAACTTTAAGTCGTCTGAATGAAACACTCCCTTTTCTATTTCCAGCTGCTGCAAAGCAACCCTAACACATGTCGGAAAGATGTGATCTTTATGCCTCTCTCTCCCCCGAAACGGCACTGGACACTTCTCCTGAGATACACAGCTTTAAAATTAGAATTGGAAAAAGCCACCGTTTCCCTCGTAGGGCCAAAGCTACCCCACGGCAGAGACCAGAATGCCCCCCAGCCAAACCAACCAAGCCAACGAAACCAACCAAACGCAGCCCTCCCAGACATCATACCCCCTCTCTATTTTGCTGTTGTGGCGCTAATCATTCTAACACCTTTTTAATTATAATCGCAAACTGGAATCCATGGCTTGTGATGTTATAAATACTGATTTTCCAGTTAAATTAGGCATTTGCTGTTTTATGTTTTGATAGGAAGGGGCTGTTTGAAGCCTCCTAAAATATTGCAATTAGTTCTCACTGTTGAAACAGACAAGACATTAACAGACACATTTGCTGTTTCGGTTTAATGTGCTGGAATGTTTATGCCTAAGTGTACTTCTCTCAAGCTTTGAAAGCATAAGGCATGTTTTTTAAAGTGGAAGAAATCAATCACAATACACCCATTTATTATCTTTTTTTTTTTTTAAGTTAAGCTATTTCTGAAACTTTCCCAGGCTGTAATTTAAACTTGGAAAGCACAGCTCTTCAACAGGAAGGAGACTTATCAGGAAACAACCCTTGTATTTTACCTATTGGCTCGGTTAAGATGATAACATCACTTTAGCTGACAAAGCCTGTGTTTCTGTTTGACAATTGCAATTAATTACTGAGATGCAGCCGAGATGGGGCCAGCCATCCAGATCTCTTTTCCAGAGAGATATAAAACCAGAGGAAAAAAGCAAAGAAAAAACACACCCCCAAAAAAAGCAAAGGAGGTTTGCGTTTTAGCATCTACACCAGTGTCGTGTTCAATGTTATGGCTGGCAAGAAAGCTGCATTATTAATTTATGTTACCTGCACCTAACTTTCTACTCCGCTCTTCTCCCTTTTTCTCCCCACTGGCAGAGGGTGGAAAAGGCGAGAGGTGAACATTTCACAAGACAGAAGCTCCAATCTGTAGGGAAGGAGGCGCGGGTTACAGAAAGGGCACCGGCACCGGGCGTAAAAACTCACAGGGCACCAACTGGTGCTCCCAATGCAAAACCTACCCAGCGGGTGGATAGAAAGTTCTGGAGATGGGGGCACCCTCCGTCTTCACTAGAAAGCCAGAACTGGCCAGCATCACCTTGTTTAACCGTTCCCGGGTCATTTGGCTCTAACCTGAAAAGACTAAAGTTGGATTCCAGCCACGCAAATGCGTTTCAGGGCTATTCTGAGACATTCCAGGGGATCTCAAAGCCCCTAGATCAATCTCGCTACCCTGCTTCATCCCCCGCCGCCGGCGTCCCCACACACGGAAGCGCAGAGCCCCGCCAGAGCCAGGGCTGGGAAACACCCCGCGGGCACGAAGGCTGGGGATTCCCAGGCTCGGAGCTGGGCAGATTCGGAAGGCACCTCCCCGGACGAGGAGCCTCGAGGCGGGCAGGGCAAGGCGACACCTCCACCCCTCGCCCTGAAATAGAGTCCTCCTTGACCGGCGTCCAGCCCCTCGCCGCCGCTCCCCCAGAGCAGCCCCCGCCGGGGCTTGACAGAGCCCTCGCTGGGGCCAAGGGCTCCCGGGACCGCGGCGCCCGGGTGTCCGAGGGCCCGGAAAAGCGGCGGCTCGCCCTGCGGGTCTCGCCGCGCGTCCACCCCCTCCCGCCGCGCCCAGGGTCCTACCTGTACCACTCCAGCCCCTTCTCGTAGTTCCTGTCGAAGAAGTGCGGCTCTACGCCCACCGCCCGCACGTCCGGGTGTACTCGGATCGCCTCCAGCAGCGCGCGGGTCCCTCCTTTCTTGACCCCGATGATGAGCGCCTGTGGCAGCTTCTTCTCCCCGTAGTCGGGGGTGCTGGCGGCGCCGCCCCTCTCGCTGCTCCCGTTGGCCGCTCTCCGGCCTGCGAGCTCCTCGTCGGTGGTGCTGGACTCCTGCGCTTCCCTCTCCAGCAGCGCGCTCTGCGCCGTGATCATCTCGCCGGGGGCCAGCGGGGTCCGGAGCCAGGCGTCGCGGGCG